TGAATCTTACGGAATTGCCTCAGCTTTAATAATATGCACAACGTACCATTCGGTATTGTATCYTTAACATGTATGCTTGCTTGGCAAGTCGTTCAAATATTGATATATCCAGCTGAAGACTCTTGGCACGTCTATCAGTRATGATTGGYTGCAGCTGTTTGTGGTCACCAATCAGMACGAACTGTTTAGCATTGGATGACGTCATGGGGACCAGAGCCTCTGGTTCCGTASACATCCCACAYTCATCGATAATACACTGCTGAATATTATYRCAGAATTCAGTGATYGTYWTACTGCCTGCTCGGGAACACGTGCAGAGTATTATTTCTCTGCCAGACTTCGTGATTGCCCATTCTTCAGCTTCTGCAATTATCTAAATATAAAATTATTATTTAAATTTGAATTCTTTTTGCATTATTATTTGTTGCATTTTCCAGAAATAGATGTTAGTTTAATGGCTGAAAGGCAAAGCTATAAGTGCTGTTTATATTAAGCACATACCGAGTATTATTTCTCTGCCAGACTTCGTGATTGCCCATTCTTCAGCTTCTGCAATTATCTAAATATAAAATTATTATTTAAATTTGAATTCTTTTTACATTTTTAGCTCGTGAAGAGCTATTGGGGTGGCTAGATTTCGCATTTTTCGGATAACGCTTCTCAGCCAATCGTTTTGGGTAATTCCCGTAACCATGGAATCCATTGTATTTGCCAAGAGACGTCACTGGAAGAATCCACGCACGTTGTTTGCAGAGGAAGCCATTTTGGATTTTCGATCACTTCATAATCACATGTAATAGCAGCTTAGTTTACTTTATGCTCTTTTTATTGGACCTTGAGATATGAGTCGTATTTATCATTACGTTGGAAGAAGAACCCGAAAACAGCCTGGTTTGTCATATATTGGATCGATTAGAATCGGTCCAGATAATCTCAATCGTAGAAAAATTTCGTAACCAAAAATCGAAAAAGAAAGGATTCTAGCCAATCAGAAGCCAATAATTTAATTGATAAAGACAACAGTTTGTTTGCACAAAACATAACTCCGACTATCGCCTTACTCGGGTCACAATACCCTCAATGAAATGAGTCAACAAGTGTCATTTGTTATCATCTTAGTTCATTAGTACTCAAAAAGCTTCACGAGCTTACCATGGGTTTACCTTTGATTATCTGTCGCATTTTCCAGAAAATAGATGTTAGTTCAAGCAGCACATGCGTAAATGGCCGAAAGGCAAAGCTATAAATGCTGTTTATATTAAGCACATACATTTCAGAAAGGCTTTCAGATTAGACTCAAACGAGTTTTAGACAAAAACTATAAACTTCGACTGGCATGAAATAGGTTGCTATTAACTGATGGATTGCAAGCATTCCCAAGAGAGTTAAAAGACAAAAACATAGCGGCCATTGTGGTACCGTTGATGCCGTGGATGCTAATGAGAAATCTTTAGCAAAATGGTACCAACATGGCCGCGATGACGTAACGAAGAATAGAACTCTTTTCTGGTTTCATTTAGAATATGTTGCAGGAGGGCACCGTTCAACCCCTGCAGTGAAAGCTGGTAATGATATTCATGATATTCATTCTTTTTTTTAAGCAAACCTCAAAATTTGCGTGCAGCAGTCAGAGCAGTAACCAACTGTGGCCCACTAAAAGCATAATATCTGAGAAGCTTAAACTATATATGTAATCATTCAAATAACACATTTTCTTTGGTAAAATGTACAGGATAACAAAATGTTGGTCGCTCTTATTAACCGAGTGTTGGGTCCATACCGTAAGTAATGGAGCGAGTGTTTGGTCCATACCGTACGTTATAGACCACAAATCGACCAATCATACTTCGTGAATAAACCTTATTGCCATAATAATATGTTTTAATCACTCACTTCACAATATTCTGCAACCTCTTTCTCAGTGGGTCTTTCTTTTCGTTTCTTTGCTTCTTTAAAGTCTTCCTCCTTCTCTCTTAGTTTTGTGGCGAATGGAGACAACTCACTCCTTATGAAATGATGAAGAGAAACTTCTTTAACTTCGCCTTCTGGAATCTTGAGTTCATCATCACTTGCAGTGGGTTTGGAAACTTTAATCTTGTTGGGAATGGGATACTCAGATTCCTCTATAAGTGTACCGTGCACGCGAAGAATCTTGCCCTTCATTCCGGGAATCTTAAGCAGATATTCTAGATAAGAGAGGATGAGTAAAACAATACGTACATTTATATCAAAAAAAGGTCTAGTCGAAGTCAAGTTACTAATCTCTCGAATCACCATCGAGCATGTGCCTCGACAAGAATACATTTGTAAACAATGTCTATATAAAAACATACAAGTAGTATTTTGCAATACCTTCGTTTTGTAGGGTTTTCAAAACCGTTGCTTCACCACTTATGGCCAGAAAGTCGCAAAAGCCATTTTAATAAATTTTGAGATCGAATTTCCGTAATCATGCTGGCTATTACTTTGACTGATTTTCTGAGACAAACAAACAATCAAATAAACAATCGCAATACCTGTGACAACATCAACTGATTTGTTGGATGGGCCGCAGTAAAGCACCTGTGGTGGTCCCTTCTCCTTTTCCTCCTTATCATGATCTGTCTTAATCTTGGCTGCCTTCTTTTTTGACTTCTTGTTTTGTTTCTCTGCTGGCTTCTGCTTTTCATTTTGCTTTGCGAACCAATATGCAACATGCACTCCAGTTACTGTTTTGCCGGTCCCTAATGAAGAATCAAAATGTTATCCAAGTTAAATTCTATGTTTATCCTCGAAGGTCAAGTCACAACTACAAATTGCAAGAGTCAAAGATAGATGGTTAATTGCTATTATATAACAGTTTGGCAACATACCTGGTGGACCTTGAATGAGCGAGAAAGGCCTTGACAAAGCCTGACGTACAGCATCTTTTTGATAATCATTCAGTGGTTTAAATCCAGACGTTCTGTAATGATCAGAAAGGGATAATTCTTGTTCGGGAAGAGGAAATCTTTCTACAATGATAAATGAATCACAAATAATTTAAAAACAAAAATAAAGGTTTTGCTTTAGAGATGGGTTGACGCACCTTGTGAAGGACTTTGTCCAAGGCAGATTGTTTTGACAAGTTCCGACGAGTTTTTCAACTTGCATTCCAACGCTGTAATCATCCGCCTTATAAAATAAATATCAATATATTAAAATTAGGTAAGATTTTATTATATTAAACT